ATCTATCTTGGTTTCCTGACTTTGTGGTGTGAACTTCTATGGTTGGAGACCGCTGTTTTTACTTTCTGGATCTGCCTCTGATGATGTCAGATGTTGACCCTGTCTGACCTTAGACAGTCTCTTGGAGACTTCCAAGAACCTTCTGTTTTTGGCTGTTTCCTTCAGCTGTTAATATAGTCACTCTGCACTCAGCAGGCTGCCTTATACAGTTAAGGGTGGGGCAGAGTGCCTCCTGGGAGTGAGGTTATTGGGTCCTCTCCTGCTGCTGCCATATGGGGGAGGAGCCTGTACTGAAATACCACTGGCTACTCTCTCTGTTCTCTGCCCAAAGCCTCCACCCCCATTTTCCCCTCAAGTATCTCCAGACCACTCTGTACCCCCTTTAGCCAGGGATCTACCGCCTGCGGCTGCCACTCTACATTCAGCAGGCAGCTTAGGCCACACAGGGCAGGATGGAATCATGCCTGTGGGTGAGGCTATTGATTTTTTTGATGCTGGTGTCATTCATTGGGAGTTGTCTATGCCTGAGAAAGATGCTGCTGCTTCATGGGGGATGAATCAGCACGAATGTTCCACCAGTTACTTTCTCAGTTCTCTCCCCAAAGCCTCCTTACCCATTATCTTCTCATGTGTCTCTAGCCCACTCTGCCCCCGCCTTTGCTGGAGAGCACATGTTAAGTGGCTGCAAATAACAATTTATATGTTGGTCCTTTAAACAGTTCTTTGGGTCTCCAGCTGCCCATCTCTGGCAGAGAACAACCCTACTGCTTTTTGCAGCTGGCTCTTTTCTCTGTACTTTTTGGGCTCTGGTATTGCAGGCTAGAGATCCTCACATTTGGTTTAGACTCCGCTCTTCTCAGGGGGATCCAACTGGCTATTTCAATATCCTTCTGATGCTGCCACCCATGAGTGCCCTGCCCACCTTCTCAGGTCTGTACCACTCTCCTTACCAGTTAGGTTGTGCTAAAGACAATTCTTATGTCTCCAAGGTTAAAAGGCTCCTCTCTTGCTATTGTTCAGTTGTTTGTTTCAGGTGATTTCTCCCTAAGTTAGTTGTAATTCCAGGTTGTTCCTGGGAGGAGGTCAGTATAACTTCCACTTACTCCTCTGCCATCTTGAAAATAAATCCACTCCTGTTGTTTTCCATGCCCTGTAAGTGGCATCAGTCAGTGTATTCCAAGTGTCACAGAGTAAATTGGTCTGGTGTGTGAACAGTTCTACCCAGAGCAATCCAGTCATAAGGGGCCATTCGATAGCCATCACTGATGGCAGAGATAAGCCCTAAAGTATAGGGTGACTGAAGTCCATTGTCTTTGATGTTCTTATTTAAATCTTTATATATTGTAAAAGGCAACAGCTCATGGGCAGGCTCTCCAGGTTTCTTAGTGACAACAGGAATAGCTGACAAAACCTTTCAATCTCCTGCTTATGTAGGTTCCTTAAGACACTGCTGCATCATAGTCATAGTCTGTGTAAATGTCAGAGGAGAATCTGAGGGAGGAGGAGGCAGAGGTGGTAAATCTTCCTGCATGTTGTCCCAAAGCAGGGCAGAAGGAGGGCTAAGAGAGGAGTTATCCTTCTCTGTTCACTGCAGTGGGTCCCTGCAATTAGACTCTGTGCTCATGCCTGTATCTGTCCTATGGGCCCGTTACTTTAAGTCTAAGCTTTCCAGATGACAAGGATTTTAGTGTGAATAAGGGTGAGAGCCATTCTGTCTAGGTTCCAAGTTAATCAATTCTGATGTCCTATAGAGGTCCTATGTACCTAGATCCATTTCAGTTTCTGCCTGGCTTTTTCCAATACATCTAAATATAGAGAACATTTCTCTCGAAACCAAGGGCAGCATTTCTTTACTGTCTCCAATATGCTGATTGAATTTTCACTTTAATTTGTCATCCTGCTGCCTTAAGAAGCTACTGATGCAGTTGAAAGTCCATCTTCTGCTCCCTAGATAGCCTGGAGCTCATTATTGCATCTGAGATGCTTTTATTTTCATTTTTACTTTCACCTTATTTTGTCTCCACCCCACCTTATCTAATTTTTAAGCACTTTCTGACTAATTGCTAGGGAATGAGATAAGTGTAGTGTGTCAAAATATAGTGCTGGTGAGGAGAACTTTCAAGAGTTTAACCCCTTGGTTATCCATAACCCTCTAACGTGCCTTGGTTTCTCCCCTGACTGTCTAAAACAGCTAGGGAGACTCAGGGTACTGAGTGAACAAGTCTTATATCCCATGTCCCCAGATGATCCAGAAGCTAAATACTATGGAATTCTCTGTGATGCCCCTGTACATCTTAGAAATTGATCATAGACATCCCCATGCAGCTCCTACTCATGTAGGGGCACCCAAGAACCTCCAGACCAGGGGGAGGATTTGCCGCTTATCTTTGAAGTTGGGCTGGGACCAAAACACTCATTCAATTCATGACTATTCAAATACTTCATTGCTGGAAACTTCCAAATTATATTTGAAAGCAGAGGGAGAATAGAGAAAAGGTCTAGAAAAAACAGCACTTTTGATCCAAGCTAGATTCTTGCTTTTTCATCTCTAGAACTAAACCTAGGTAGGGAATGTGCCACAGGGGTAGGATTGAGAATTCCTTTACACTGTGCCTATTTTTGCATGAAGTTTTGCTTGCAGCTGGTGAGAAACCTAGTGTTCTTTCCTGGTCAACATCCAGCTTATTCTTCCATGGGTATCTTTATTGCAGTGAGCATCCTTGTGGCTTTTAAAAACTCAACCCGTGCCTGCAAAGTGTGGCAACTTCTTGAGGGAGAAAGAGCAAAATCTTGCAAAGAGTATTTGAATTAAATTTGAATTGAAAGATGTTACCTGAGGCAGAGAAAAAGAAGGGCAGAAAGACTGAAAACACACAGACACAAGAGATGGCCCTGGAAGAAAACCCCCTTCTCCTTCATCTTACATGCACCTGCAGCATAACAAACAAGTGATGATCCCACTGGGTCCCTTACGGGGGATGAAAGCTATGCTGAAACACCATTCCAGGGAATTTGTGGTCCACAAATATGGTTCATATCCTCTTAGGCAGGTCCAGATATTGTGGGTCCCTGTTTGGGTGCCAGATAGGGGAGGATCTGTCCTTCAGGGTATCTCCAAATGCAGTGGATGAAGAAATAAACTCTACTAGACACAATTTGCCTTTCAGGAGAGGGGACGGTGTTTTCTTTCAGTGGACAATACCCTGAGCCCTTCTCTTGAAGTGGTTTTATTGAGTTTAATTCACATATGGATTCATAGCATGTTCATAGTGCTTATCAAACAATGTTAAAAAGTAATGATTAAAGGAAGGAGATATGGTTTAAGGATAACAGTAAAGGGATTACAAAGCCTTTCTGAGTCAGGGTCTGGTAGACAGGGTGACACCCATTCAGCCCTAAAACCTGAGAAAATAAACTCATTGTATGCCCAGACCCCAAACACCAGTACTGATTAATTTGAGAGCACTCTTACCAAAACAGGTTTCAAAGATTTTAATGCATTCATTTCTCAGGCCTAATTGCCCCCAGGAACCACTCAATCAAGTTGAAGACTGTACCTGCCTCTCATATTGTTTCAAGCCTGAGTCAGACTATGGGAACAGAGCAGCCAAGAAATAAGTATACCTCTTTCAGAAAGAATGAGAACTCCAGCCATGACAAAGCTGAGGGCTGAGGGTTTTTTTGTTTCTTCTCTGTGTCCCCCAAGTCCTTCCCTGATGGCTCCTATGTGACTGTGCCTGTCTTAGGTTGTCCTGTCATCAAGGAGTCTTAGACATTATTGACTCACCAGCCATTCTCTTGGGCCAAGCAGGATGAAGTGAAAGAGGCAGAGGCTGCACCTCTGCCAGGGGAACTGGTTTTCTCTCCCCAGTGGCCTGTGTTCCCAAGACCTCTTTGCTCAGCTCCAGCCTTGGGGTCCTCTTGCCTGTCATCCAGGCTACTGTCCCTGAAACAAAAGGGATGATTCCTAACAAGTCTGTTATCATCTCTCCATCAGTGCCACAGATTTTCTTCACTGTGGGTGTTTACATGTGTCCTACAGTTTGCACAGCGTCCTCAATTATATGTGAAAATACTAAAGTGTGAGATGAGAAGGATTTCTGGAGATCCTTGAAAAAGTTTTCAAATAGAATGTGCATCTGCCTCACATCGTCCTCATAAGTCTCAGACACACACACCCTGTTTAAGGGGGATAATCCTCTTCATACATTGCATTACCAATGGGAATGCAAGCTGGGTCACAGACCTCAGGAGTCAGAGATACTGTCGACATGGGTATGAGATGAACACATCTCATAGGTCTCTGCTTCACACTCACTCTGGGCCATCCTGTTGTCCATAGAGATCTCTAATGCCAAGATGAAATGTCCATGTGCCAAGAGCACCATTGAGTAGACAAAAAGACAGTTCACTGTAGGACAGATCTGACCTTCTTCTTGGATACCCACTCAAGAGGAGCCTACAGTCAATGCTATTATTGCTCTGACTGGAGGCTGCACCTTCTCGCCTTGTTGTAACGAGGCTCTGAGGGAGATAAGAATAACAGTAAATGTGATTTGTGTGAGCATAGGAAGGCAGATTTTCTGTTCACTGTGTAACATGTGGATGATTCTGTAACATGCAAATGAAGAGCAAATATTTCAGTTCAATATGAAGGATTTCCAAACATTTTTATTTTTATAACCTATAAATAATACCCTTTCATTATTTTCTTATCCACAAACAAAAATATTTTTAAGTAATTGTCATTCAGAGGTTGTGTAAGGAAGCAAAGGATATCTACCTACACCTCCATACTGGCCAGAACTCCAGAACCATTACAGACATGAAATATTTTTGAAGTGAACAAAAATGTTTTCAACTAGGTAGTGATGATAGTTTTAGAGCCATAGAACTACACTAAAGAATCCTGAATTGTACAATTTAAAATGTTTAAAACAGTGCATTTCATGTTGTGTTAACTTCAAATGTATATAAAATAATATAATTTAACATCTCTTCTAAATTTTAACCTGGAAGGCAAAAGAAGATAAGGAGTTGGAAATAAAGAAAATTTTCTGAGTAAGACTTGCTGAGCAGGGAAAGGAAACACCAAAATGTAAAACAAAACTAAACAAACCTAAATAGCACCTTTATTTCCTCTTGGGCTAGATGCTCTCCTCTTTGGGTCCTCAGCACCCCCTGGTGCCCTGGGTGCCCTCTGCACCCAAGCCTCCTCTCTCCTGCAGGGAGGTTTTTGTCTGGGATCACACTGAGTTCCCCTCGCTGTGTGTCTAGCACAGTAATACATGGCTGTGTCTTCAGGTTTCAGGTTGGTCATTTTGAGAGAAACTGTGTTGGTCGGGTTGTCTCTGGAGATTGTGAATCTTCCTTGAACTGATGGAGCGTACCACTGGTTTGATCCAGATGGACTGCTCACTTCTGCCACCCACTCCAGCCCCTTCCCTGCAGCCTGGCGGACCCAGTTCATGTTGTAGTCAGTGAAGGTAAATCCAGAGGCTTTGCAGGAGAGGGTCAGAGATCCTCCAGGTTGCACCAAGCCTCCCCCAGACTCCATTAGCTGAACTTGGCACAAGGCACCTGTAAAAAGAAAAAAAAAAGAGTGTGAGAACAGTCCCTGAGGAACAGTCTCCACTGAACCTCCTGCAAAAGGACGCACCATTGACAGCAATGAGAACGGAAGCCCAAAGGAGTGCGGACCCCATGGTGTGGATTCTGAAGATGGGCTCACACTGGAGGCTCCCCCCAGGGTTGTGCAGGGACAGGAGGTGAGCTAGTTTTCATGAGCTGGGGAGGGACCCCATTTGCATGCCTGTGCTCTGCGGTCATGTCTTAACAGCCCAGCGGAGGTCCTCTTCCCTGTCTTGAATGTCCCTGGCAGGACAGGTGGACAAGAGTGTCTCTGCCTGGATGCAGGGGTACTCGACAGGTCTGGATATGCCAGCAGATTTTCTATAATAGTGAGAGACATACTACAGAATGATGAAAATGGGATATTAAATTCTCGAGTGCAGGTTGCAAGCATAACCACTCAGGAGATGTGCTAAGACCGGTTTGTGATGACAATAGAGCCCCCTAATGGTGGCCCTGTGCCACACAGATTGTGAACTTTGCGCAGACCAGCATCTTGCTAGGCCCAATATCTGCTGCGGGGCAGTTGTCCCTAGCATGTTTGTCATGGTGGCAACCCAATTCCTGCTTCTTTGTTGTCCACAAGTGAGTCTCCACAAGGACATCATCAGTCTATGGACTCCAACTTTAGGTGAGAACCTGAGGGACATAAGCCCTTCTCAGCACCTGGAGCACAGACATCCCAAGCTGGGTCTTGGGCTTGCAAGTTGATGATGCCTGTCACCTGCTCTACTGACCACAATCACACATCCCAGTGTCCATGATGTAACACACCAGAAACATTTGAACTCTTTGGGGTGACCCTTCATGACTCTTGTTTCTAGAGCTGAGGAGAGATTGCTGAGCACAGAGCACATACTCACCATCTACAGGGGAAGTTCCCTGCCCAGGCACCAGGCCCTGTTACTAGGGCCGCTGGGGCTGCTCTGCAGTTACTGTGGTAACTGAGTTACACGATGTGCCTGAGGGCATGTGAGTAAGTACAGTGGAGAGGACAGCACGGCCCTGTCCTCAGGCTGGGGCATGGGACATTTGACCTCATCATTTGTGTTTTCTTCTGACACATAGATTTGGGATTGCAGTGGCAACTTGACATGTAAACGCCATAAAAGGATGTCAACTCCATTAGACGTGTTCAACACTGTTATTAGTATCATTATCTGCCTTGAAGTTAGGAAGCTGCTCTCTGAGGTTGCACCTCTGCTTACATGATGAATACCTTCTCCAGTTCTGGCAGGCCACGCCTGGGACAGGTCACCCACTATAACTCCACTACCCTCATCTCTTCATTGAATGATTTAGATCAATTTGCTTTAAATTCAAAAGGCACTTCGTTCCATTTCCTTACATGAATAATTCCTTGAATACTAAATATTCAACCTGGGTTTTCAATATTTTTGGATGAATTACATAATAACTTCTATGTACCAGGATGCAGGTTATTGAAGAGTCACCAGAAGTTGGAGGATGCATCTCAAGAAGAACATCCATGCCCTATTGCTAGAACCTGAACATGTGGACTGGCCTGTTACAGGCTAGCAGTAGGGAGAAGACAGACACTTACATCCAGAACCAGGTGAGTCCCATATTCGTCAGGTGGTCTCTGGCCCCTTCGTTTGAGCAGATGTAAGTGGATCAGTCTTTACTATAGGGAGAATATGAGTCTCTATGGAAACTGGTGCACATTGCTGCTCATCCATAAAATATATAATAGGTGTGCAAACATTTCTGTGGGTTTGGATGGTCTACTTAGTTGCGACAATCCCTGGAAAGAAAGAATTAGGTCTATTGGAATCAAAAACAGTTGTGATGTTGTGGATATTAATAAACTGTAGTGGGACACCAGATCAGGTCACACTGACAGTAGGTAGGCATGGTAGAAAAAAAATCACAATTGTCATATAGAAAATAAAGGTAAAGATGGAATGAGATGCCTTTGAAGGTTATGAATAAGGTGCCCAACAAGGGGAACAAACTCTCAAAACCTGAGGGAGAATTAAAAGTGCAGGAGGCTTGTGCTCAGGAGAAATGGGTAGTTCCATTTGACACCATCTCCTCTACAAAATGATCAGAGCATGAACTTAGAACAGAGTGTGTCCCTAGAGCACATAGACCCAGAGTTGGAGGAGGTGGAGCATCTGTGTTAATCATTCACTGGGAGACAGAAATGTGAACTCCACAGAGAGGCAGACAGCGCTCCTGGGTCGTGTTATTTCAGTGAAGTTTGCTGTGGAATCTGCAGTAGATTCACTGCCTATATCTGTTTTTATTCTCTCGACTGATGTAAAACCATGCTGACACATTGGGGACACAAATATAAGTCAATCTTGACTATATATGTTTAGTTAACGATGTAGATATAGATAAGTAAATTATTTTTATTAAATTATTGTTAATTAAATTTATATTATAAAATTTTAATTACAATTTTAAGTATATAGCATTGTGTAAACTTAATGTGAACACCATGATAATTTGATACATGCCTTTCTTTTATTTTTTATAGACTTCATCTATTTAGTTTTAGAGAAAGGAAGGGAAGGAGAAAGAAAGGGAGAGAAATATCAACATGTAATTGTCTCTCACAGGCCCCTTACCAAACGCCTAGCCTGAAACCCAAGCAAGTGCCCTGACTGGGAATCCAACCCATGGCCCTTTTGTCCACAGGCTGACATTCAACACACTGAGTCACACTAGCCAGGGTAATTTGATATATTTATTTATTTATTTTTACCTCTTTTTAAATTTTTAAATCATGTTTATTGCAGTTGTCACAATTTCCCCCCTTTGCCCCACTCCACCAATCCTACCTTGCCCCTTCTCCTGCAGTCAATTCCCATGCTCTTCTCCATGTCCATGGGCAATTCATACATGTTCTTTCTCTAGCCTTTTCTTCTTTCTACTATTGTCCTCCTTCCTCACCCCCTCTGGTCACTTTCAACCTGCTCCATGTTTTTCTCCCTGTGGTTTATTTTCTTCATTACTTTATTTTGTTGAATAGATTCCACTTACAAGTGAGATCATGTGGTATTTGTCTTTCACTGGCTGGCTTATTTCACTTAACATAATATTCTCCACTTCCATCCATGCTGTTGCAAAAGGTAGGAGTCCCTTCATTCTCTTTCTTTTCTTAAATACTGATTGATTTATTTTTTTAAATGTCAAGGTCCACTATAAAATATTAAAACATTTAAATCCATTATAAAGTCTCAGCCATGCTGCCAGCACAGAAATAATCAAGTAGATTAATGAAATAATGAATGCAGGTCAGTGTGATCAAACATCACCAGAGGGTGGTGGTGGGTGGGGAAACCGATTAGGTATCAAACGTGATCAAATATTTATGGTGCGAGATTCTCTACCAAGCAACTTAAGAGGATTGATGCCAACATCGTACTATGCAAAAATAGACCTTAAAGACACAAACTGGCAGCTTCCTGGGGAAAATAGAGAGAATAACCTGACTGAATATGGTTGAAGATAAGACTTTCTTCCAAGGCTGTATCAGCGTTGGTGGTAGGCAGCCCTGGTCTGACTCCAAGGTCAGTGCTGGGGAACACTCACTGTGAACTCTCTGGGCACTACAATGTGTAGAGCAATCCTGACTGTTCTCTAAGGATCACTGCTTTCCTGGACTTTCTGATGCAACTGAACACATTTCCCGAGCATGACAGTGAGGCTCATTTAATGGATTAATACATTGGCTTGTACTTTGCAGTGTAAATCATATTGCCAGATTTTAAAACAGATGATGAATGAAATTTATATTGTAACATTAAACGTCAGGAAATTGTGAGGACACATTTAAAAGTATGAATAAATGTACCAGGCAGATGAGCCAGACTAAAGGGGAAGAGACTATTTCCAGAAGACAAATGTGTCCACCAATGTCTAAGACTACAAAATGCTTGTTCACAGTGTGCTGTGCAGCAGTGTGTGGGTTGACATGGCCAGGAGACCAGCAACAGGGTTTGTATGAAGAACAGGAAATAAAATGAACTAAAGTGCAAATGAAACTTTCAAGAACTCACACAGACGTGCATTCGACCTTCAGTTTGTCCAGGAAGAATGATGAGTGAGCTCCATCTGAGTGGTGGTGGGATTTTTAAAGAAGATTTTTCAGTGAAGATGCCAATAAATCACCAGGAGATGTCCCAGGACAGGACTGTAGAGGCCACTGGGCCCTTAATGGTTACCCTGAGCATCTGAGGCAGCCTGACTCTCATGCCTTTCAGTCCAGGAAAAGATTGAGCTGGGAAGGTCTCAGCTGTAAGTTTATGGCTAGTCTCAGAAGAGAAGAGGGACATGAGGACACAAAACCTGACAATTTCTTGCAGATTTATATATTATTTTTTATTAATTGCAACATGGGACTCTATCTTCTGAATTTGATATTTCAATTTTTGTGCTCATTAATTTCAGAGTGAAAAATGTCAGTTGGTATTTTGAGACAGTGAGTGAGTGTAAAGAAAAGCCAGGGAATCATTCGTTTTTATGCATGTTGAGTTGCACTCAATTGAATTTCACATGTTTTGCCTCCTTTGCAATTACTTAGGAAAACCCTTCTGTTACTATCATTTACTAAACTGGGTTCCTCTTGAATGGGACCCTCTGTGCTTACTGGACTTGTGTGACTTTATCTATTCTCAAATTAGGGAAGTTTTCCATCATTACTTTTTCAAACAGTTTCTCTATCCCTTATTCCTCTTCTTGTCCTTCTTGTATCCCTAGTATATGGATATTGTTAAGTTTCAGGTGGTCCTACATTTCTATAAATGCCTCTTCATTCTTTTTGAGTCTTTTTTCATGTTCTTGTTCTTTCAGGGAGCTATTTTCTACCTTGCCTTCCATATCACTGAATCAGTCCTTGGTTTCACTTATCATGGTCTTAATTAATTCTAATGAGTTCTTCAATTCAGAAATTGTATTTTTCATTTCCTCTTGTCTCTACTGATCATTCCTATGTCTTTTTTCATGATGATATTATTTGCAGTAAGTTCCTCAAAATTTCCCTGCATTATTATATATACATATATTTTTTTATTTCTCTCTGACCTCACTTGGCTCATTTATCTTCCTTATGGTCATTGTTTGGAACTCAATATCTGATAGTTTACTTGCCTATTCTTTACTTAGTTCTCATTCTGGGGATTCCTTCTTTCCCTTCAACTGGAAGATATTTCTTTGTATTACCATTATTTTTGAGGCTCATTTTTTGCTTCTGCTTCTTAAATTGATCTTTATTGATTCCCTGACTTTGTGGTATGAACTTCTATGTTAGGAGCCTGCTGAATTTGCTTTCTGGACCTGTCTCTGATGATGCCAGATGTTTTCCCTGTCT